TTGAGACGCAAGAAGAGGAAAGGTAGTAGAAAGAGGGAGAGTATGTTAGAGGCGGACAGAACAACATATGAGAAAAGGTGGACAGAGGTGGGGGTGCGCCCATGCTTGGGACCTGGGAGAAAAAGAAGGGGCAAAGTCTGGTTGAAAAGTCATGGCCATTCAGATCAGTGTTGTGCTTCAATATGTCTAGACTTTTCTCCAAAGCCAGACAGTCATTCACATTTCTTAAAAATGTCTAGAAGAAGAAACATACCAGATTTATTAGCGTAGTCCTGGGATCATGTGGAGAAGAGAAATGCAGGCCTGGAGGCAAGGTGACCTGTTGGGTGTCCACTGCAATGTCTTTTAGGTAAAGAAATTATGGAGCTTAAATTAGAAGAGTAGTGGTCAGAATGCTGAGGAAGGCTGGTTCTGGGTAATATTCTGAACACAGACTGACCTGCATATAGAGCATGGAGGACAGGGAGTGTGATTCAGTCGTCAGCTCTGTGGTAAGTGAACACACACTGTCACCATTGAAGCTGAGACATTCTGCGAAACAGGTTTGAATGAGAAGACACTGCAGAGGGTTCAGGAAACAAGGGGCTGTGCAGCTGGAAGGTCTGACCACACAGGATGGCTCATCTGGAGACAGCCCGGCATGAGTAAGAATGTGCCTACAGCTTAGGAAGGAGCACACTAGGAAAGCACACCCGAAAGTCCTCCTCCTCCACATCAGTGGTGGCAAACCTTTTAGAGATCGAGTGCCCAAACAGCAACCAAGACTGCAATTAAACCTCAATACTGAGGTTTTAGCACAGAAAAAACAACTCTACATGAACATCTTCTCTTAAAAGAAAAATATAATAACAAACGTGCCATAGGTTCACCACTACTGATCTCTGTGATAGGAGTGTGAAGTCATGATATAGGGAACAGGTGAGAAAACGGTGGATTATAACACTGTTTGAGAGGACTCTGTGGTACCCCTGCTACGTGGACTTTCTCACGGTCATTAAACATGACGTAATGCAGGCTGCAAGGCAATACGGAGAAGCGCTACACCTGTGAACTTTCAAAAGCTCAGCGCATACCCAGAACAACATAAGTGCATCTCAAAACCATCACCACGGCTGTGCTGGGCCTGGTGGTGCACACCTGTAATCCAAGCACTGGGGTAGGAGGATCGCTGCAAGTTCCCCATCAGTGTGGGACAGATACACACACACACACACACACACACACACACACACACACACACACACGCTTCACTGGGTAAAAAAAGTCAAACACAAAACAAACATAATGCATACTTCCATTTATATGAAATTATAGAACAGGCAAAACTAATCTATGGTATAAAAAGCAGATCAGTGTTTGTTTCTGGGGGGATAAAGAGGAACTGAAAGGGGCGTAAGAGAGTTTTCTGGAGTCACAGAAACGTTCTACTCCTCGCTAAGGGGGTAGGTTATATGAGTACATATGTCTGTCAGAACTGATGGAGTAACAAGAATCTCACTGTGTGTAAATTATTCCTTAATGTAAAATGCCAGAGTATAAAGTTGCATATATTCATATAAACAAAGGCAAGGGACCACACAAATAAAAAGTAGTACAGCTATGGGCTACTCTTGCTTAAAATCTTTCTTTTCATACCTTGTTTTTAAATAAAAAGAAACTTTAAAACTTCAAATGCCAATAAATATTTATCAACTACCCATGAAAATGGAGGACATACTATACTTTTTTTCCCAGTAGAAAGTAGGAAAGACTCTCTGCATTAAGGACTTTACTGTCTGAAGACAAGGGAGACAAAATATCAGTCAACACACCAGGTTACAGTACCCAGGGATGACTGGACCAAGGGGAGTGTGATGGTTGTTTTGAGGAGACTGAGAGGGTATTTGAAGAGGTTTTCAGGTGTGTGGCTCAGATGGCAGGAGCATGCAGGCTGCATCTGCAGTGAGCTGGCTTAATGTGGTAGGAGGTGTACTCATCAGTGAGATGAGACTGTCAGTCAGTGGTGGGGATGAACACAGAACCTGAGAGTCTGAAGGTCAACAGTACAGACTTCACTTGGGTTTCAGTGTACCTGGTGTACGAGTGGTCTTTTATTCTTTGCAATTTTTTGCAGTTTGGGAACCTTGTCCCCACATTCATAGAGAAGGTAAAGAAAAATTACCCAATGGGAAAGTGACATCAAGGACCCTGCACTGTTGATCTGGAAGGAAAAGTGGATACTCTGGTGATGGGGTAGTGATAACGACGACAACAGGATGGGAGTTTTCTCCCCGTGAGTTGTCCGTGATGGACCAGTCCTATGCCATTGCTTCTTATGTATTATTATTCTACTCAGGCTCTGCAGCAACTCAGCAAAACACATACAGACTTCATATTGCTAATAAAGGAACTGTGCTCAAAGAATGCAGGTAACTAGTAACTAGGAATGGATGGACAAAAATTTAAAGACCATCAACTCCACATACTAAACTCCCCTATGTCATGAAAGGATTGATCAGGTCTCACTTCTTTTTGTGTCTGAAGAGCCTGTCCTGAGGGGTTTCTAGCATTTCATCTAATTACTATTTCTTCTTGTAACATAGTTTATGCCCTCACAGAGCAGCAAAGGTGGTTAATTACTGCACTGTAAAGCTGCATATATCTTAACACACATCCTTCAGGAGCAGTTAACACTTGGTCCTCGATGCTTTGCAATTACCTCATGTGATTCTTACAACCACCCTTGGGGCAGAAAATTATTACTGACATATTAGAGAGAATAAGATTGGGACAAAGACATACAACATGACTTGCTCTAGGTCACCCAGCTACTAGGGAGCTGGGCCAGGACACTGTGACAACACAAGCCTGAGCACTTTACTGTTTCAAACGTTAAAAACAGAGTTTTGAACTCAGCTATGGAAACTTACCTCTTTCCATCTCAGCTCATGCTAAAAATTACAATCCAGCTGGAAGGCTTGAGACATTTTTCCTGGCAAGTTTCATCACGAGCATTAAAGGATTCTCTTCTCTACCCACATAGCACCAAACTCTTTCCAAAATGCTTTATGCTATTACTTGAGTAATGCTATCTTATTCAACAGTGCAATGACACATTTCCCAAGTACAGCCTCAATGACAGAGAGATACAGACAGGCCACCCGCTGTGTCCTGACACTCTGACAGCAGCAGGAAAAGCACATCAGGACACACTGCCTTTATCAACTGGAAGGTGAGAGTGGGTACAAACCCTCAGTTACTTCCTGACAGGCTGTGTGCCTACCTGGAGGTGTGAGTACCTGGCCCCAATTTGAATTGCTTAACTGTGCCACCCACTGAAAGGTAGAAGAGGATCCCCCTTTCAAGCAGAGTGAATGAGCCCAGTGTTCTGTTCTGGTTCTGGCCCTGCCCAGGAGAGAGGCCGAAATGTGAAACATAGGCAGGCTCATTTCCACCTCTACTGGGGTGTGATAAACTCCGAAACACACAAAAGGCCCCTTTCCTGATCTTCTGATGCTGTGTTCATTACAGTACTTAAAGCACAGACAAAAGCAAATTAAGTTGGCCATTTGAGTAATCAAAGGGGCAGCAGTTAAGCCAAGTCACAGACAGGAAGCCTCCACCTCTGAGGGCTGGGTGGCTTGCTCCTTGCCCATGGTTTCCTTATACTGTTTCAGTAGTTGTCTAAAGTTTTGTCTGTCTTAAAATTACTTTTTCATAAAGTGTCCTTAATTTCCACAGCCTAAAATAAGGTGAGGAATGATGTCTTGCCTAGGTATTTGTAGGAGTCCAGAGAGTAAACCAAGAGTTTGGCCTTGCCTCCCATTGGGAGGTGAAAGAGATGAGGAATGCAGAAAGTTCTGACACCACAGGCAGGGCCCTTTGATCTTTGCCCAGTTGGGCTGGGAGTGGTGGTGAAGCAAGAGTGCTCCAGTCTAGCAAGTGAGATTGGCAATGCTTAACACACTCCTGCTGGCTGGTGGTAGAAGTGGTACAGTCATGCATGTGACAGTCCTTCATGTACCATTGGTGGTTCAAGCCACCCAGCAGCGAGACATACAAATTACAGCTCCATCATGAATGTGTTAAACTCTGGTCTTGTCCATAGAAAAATAGGCAAATTATTTTCAAATTGGATGAACATAATTTGCTTCTCTAGCTGGTACCTTTGCATTCATTACTAATACTCCTGCCTATGTATACTTCCAGTGGAAGTGGCTAGTAAGCACCAAAAGCTGCAAAGGGCAAGGAAAGCAGCCTTTGGGTGAACAACTTTAGGTCTGGGTGGGGCTAGACTGAGGAGCCACAGTAGCCTGGGGGGCCCCACAGCAGCCTGCTCACTCCAGCACAGCAGTTGGGGAGGGGGAAGTAGAACCTTCTCTGTCCTGCAGTAGGGTCTCCAGGGCAGACAAAAACGGAGACAATTTGGCCTATGGAGAGGAACACCAAGTGTTTAGTGTCACAGACCCACGCTGTCCTGTGGTACTGAGGGGTCATTCACTTTCAGCCCCATCCACGTTGTTAGTGAGCACAGACTATGTCTTTTTCCAATGCACTGTTCTAACAGGCAGTGCCCTTTAAACTTCACACTCATTCTCACAAACCATCCCTAGGAAGGGTAATGTAATTACTGTTATCAGAAAGGGAATTTCCTCCACACTCTTCAAGATGAAAAGTGGTTCAGAAAAAAAATGACAGAATTACTGAACAGGAATTCACGTAATGACTGAAAATCATTCTGTCCCTCTCTCTTCAGCAAGAGACATGCTTTGGTCATCAGAGGCTCTGCGAGGCTTAGTGAGATCAGTGCCAGGAATTCTGTGAACTTGGAGTCAAGCTGCCAAGATTGAAAAGAAGCGTGGATAGTTAAGTGTTTGCAGAGACACCGGACAGTCAGCAGTAACGGCTGCCATTTGTAACCCTAGCCTTCACGCAGACCAGAAAACTACATTTTCCACCTTCTCCCTTGTCCCATAAAACTGACCACCACCACCACCACCCCCAAAAGAAAAAGCTCTTACCTAGCTCTCCCCGGAGGTTAACAAGTTCTTGAGATAGGGTTTTGTGTTGTTTCAGTGCTTCTTCCCGCTGCGGAAAACACACATCAAATTACTAACGTTTTCAAGAGGGTCTCTTTTCAGTCAGTACACATTTGTTATCACCAGGAAAATGAGACCCAGAATCGAGAAGCCAAGATATCAATCATTTAGGCCAACACAGTTTGTGTTGTTGAAAAACACAGATGCCTCTTAGTTGTGAAGGAAACCCGTGTTTCAAAAGTCTGTATTTTTTCAGGTCCTTGTGAAACCTTTCTTGGAGAAACTGAATGGTTCATTTAAAAACATTTGCTCTGAGCTTGAGCTTCACTGCTGCTCCCTAGCACCTTTCAGCTAATGCACACTATACTGAAGATGAAATGCATTCTCTTCCTCCAAGGGCAACAGAGGCCTAATCGGTCTAAGATAAATATTTAATGTTCTAAACATAGGCACTTACATATACTTTGTCCTGTAGTCACAGATAATAAAGTTTTGCTACAAGACCAATCCTTAACTTCTAAAAGAAAGACAATAATGTTTGTTATAAAGCTATGGCAAAAAATAATCCTTTAGAGAAAAAATTAAATTGATTCTTCCAGCTACTCACAGTTTTCAAAGATTAGTATAGCTAGGTAAATGTTAGAGAAATGAACCAAAAGAATCCAGGCAGCTGTTTCAGTATTTAAAAAGCAACCATCAACCTCACAATAGAGAATAATTTTCAAGTTACCAGTAACCCCTAAGAAAGCACACATCCACACACATTCATCCAAATACAGTAGTTAGACACAGTTCCTTAGAAGATAGATTCCCTAGCACCAGGGCATAACTAAGGCAGCCACAGAATTTCAAAGCTCTGAAAATGCCTTCACTGGGATAGCCCCAGATGTAGCTCCCCCCCGCATCCCAATCTCGTATTGCAGAGATCATGAGATCCATCCTGCCTCTGCAGCAAGAGTTGCTTGTCATTCAAAGCGTTTCCCAGATTCCAGACACCCTCTGCGGTAGTCCCTGACATTCTTCCAGAAAAGCACTATAAACAAAAACTAATTACCCTTGTTGCTGCACATGGAGGATTGAGGCACATTTTGCTGCTCGGGCAGCCCATTTTCCAGCTTCTGTCTCCAACTCTCCCACCCCCTGCACTGTCCAAGAAGTGCACAGGTGGCTGTGCCACCCACCAGTCAGGTCTGCCTACATTCAAAGCTCTACCAGAAGGAGCGCCATTGGCCCTTGGTGGCCTTCCTGCACGTCCTGCAGGTTACCGTAAGCCTCAGACTCTTCTCTCCCCACAGAACTGATACTGCAGCTTCTGCCTTTGGCACAGGCTGCCTGTGATTACTTAAAGCCATAGCCCTTCATTTATGAAAAACGAGAGCCAGACATTAGACTGATCGATTGCCACTTACTTAAATATCAACTGGGACAGTGGAAACAAAAACTGACCCTCTCTGCAGGGATAATGGAGTTATTTTTAGATTTGTGAGCCTTTTTACTCCCCTCTCTAATTGAGGACATTAGATTATCACACTTACTAGTAGAGAAGGGAAAGTTGCTCTTCCAAACCCATATACTAAATGGGGTTGTAAACTCAGTGAGGGGCAATGCAGAGGGGTGTGTTGTGACCTAGAATTTTAAGTGACATTATAAAATGAATGATATTCCTCTCAATATTTAACTTGATTATTAGAACGTGGTCCACTGGGGCCGGGGATATAGCTCAGCGGCACAAGCACCTGCCTGGCAAGCGCAAGGTCCTGAGTTTGATTCCTGGTACCAAAAAATAAAAAAAAATTTAAAAAAATAAGAACGTGGTCTATTGATTCAAAAACTCTGAAATGCCAATTTGAGCACTGGAGGTTATAGATATCTTATTGCCTATTTTGCACTAGTCTCTCACTAGCAGCAAAAGCTTTAGACACAAGCACTACTGTACGAACAAGTAACAGTGACTGAAACTTATTAAATACTTTTACCATCAAGTACATTTAGGCCTTGAGGGTACCCTAAATGCTTTATTTTTAAACACATGGTATTAAGTTGTTCTGAGTTACAAATCTGTGAATCGTGAACAGGGCCAGGTTACAACTCAGTGTGGAGCCCTTCCTCACACACACTAAGTGCTGGGCTCGATCCCCAGTGTCAGAAGAGAGAAAAAAAAAAAGTCACTCGTTCTCTAATGTAAAAATTAAAGTTTAAGGACAATCAGCCTGGATAATAATGAAAGAAAAATTTTTAAAATACTGATCATGTCCTTCCCTCCCCATTTTGTAAATTTAACCTTAATAATATAGTTCAGATGAATAGCAGCACACTTTATCAGTAAAGTCACAGAATATGGCTTTATTAAACATCCACAAGGAATCCTGAAACACGTTCAGTGAACTTGCTTAAAGTTCTCTCTCCAACAGCAACCACAGAGCTAACAAAAGAATGGTAAGAGAATTATATCACTTCTCAAATGCACAGAAACTAAAGAGAAGAAAAAATTGAAAATTATTGGTGGCATAATTTCCAAGCACAATTTCGTAAAAGCCATTACATTTTATGACAGATCCAAGCAGGTGATATTTTGCTTTTTAAAGGGGCTTGGGAGACAAAGCATTTCCCCCAACTGCACTGCACACACCCACCCTGTACTCTGCGTTTCAGAAGCATTTTACATATTCTGGTCTCTGCCATCCACAGCAACACCAAGAAGAGAGGCCTGTGGTCACCTCTCACTGCTTGTCTCAAAGGAACGTGCAGAAGCCAGTCAGTTCTCCTTCACAATATGTCTTGAATCTACTGTACTTCTCTTAGCCTCCACTCCAGGCCTCATCCTCGCCAACTAGGCCTGGACAATGCACAGGACCTCTGCAGCTTGCAGAGGCTTCCACCTTATTACTCCATACTCTTCATGCATACATATTCTCCTACTCAGAAAGAACTTCTTATTAAGTGAATGAAAAACTAGAGAACAGGCCAAGAAGGGGTATAGCTCAGTGACACAGTGTGCTTTTAACATACCTGAGGCCTGGTTTAACTCCCAGCACCTCACAGAGTCACCACTGACCTGAGTCAAGCAGCTCTGCTCAGGCTCCCGGCCTCTCTTCTGTGCAAGTTGCAAGTATCACGCCTGTCCCACCTCACTGTCAGTGCCACATCCCTGCGTGCCCATCTTCTTTACCTGACCCATTATACAAACCTCCCAGAAATACTGTCAGTCAGAGACACCACCCGTTTCCCTAAGCGCCTAGGAAGGGTATTTATCCTCTGGACTGGTGGGCAAGTTATTTCTCTATACAAACTAAGCATTTTCCACAGTATATGCTATAAAAAAAAATGTAAGGAACTTAAGATAAGGCCACTGCTTTCAAGAAGCTACTGTGGAACTGAAATGTCCAGGCCCAAATCTTTGGTCATCAAACAGATAACTTCATTTGAGAGGAAGCAGTATGGGATAATGGAAAAATAAAGGGCTTTACATATGATCCTTATGAGAAATGTCAACCACCATGGCTATATCCTAATAAACATGTACGATGTATTTCTGCCTGACTTTCCTGGTAGCTTGTTATTTAAATGTACTTATCATTTACTTGTAGATGATAAAATATATTTTGTCAGATAGAAACTGATTCATGTTTCCTCTTATTCAGATAATCCTAAATTAGCATTTCTGTCTTAGATAAACCCTTCATAGTCCAGATAACAAGTTTATTTGATTCTTTGTATTGTAACATGCAGAATTCCACACCCACAGTATGAGAAAAGAGAAAATAGAAATCTAGAAAGATATTTCTTTACTCATGCATTAAATATATGAAGTGCTCCAAGAAAAAAATGCTTCACTATCACTAGGGGTCTCTGGGACACAACACTTAGCTTCTGGCTGCTGTCCCATCAGCATACCTGGATTTTGCTAGCTACTGAATATCACCAGTGGCACACGAATCACATCAGATGGTGCACACATGGCTATGCCTGCCCTCCTCCCCACATGGTGAATCTGTCAGTGTGGCCACCATTTCTGGTCTGACACAGTTTTACTTAGATGGTTAATGTCATTCAAAATTCACCTTGGATCAGATGCTACTCTAGTTTGGATTCCATTTACAAAAAAGAAAGGTCTTGGAGGCACTTTGAAGAATGAAGTCAGAGGTGTGGGGAAGACCTCAGTCTTGTTTAGCTTACCTAGAAACCCACACAGAGCCTTATGCAGACACTGTCCTCACCAGCAGAACACTGGGCTTTGCCTGGCTGTCTGTGCAGAATACTGTAGCACCACACCAGGGTGAGCCAACAACTAGAACTGAAGCTACCATTCATGCACCCTTTGAGAAACAGAGAGTGACAGAAGTTTCCACACTGATGACATGTTTAGCAGAACACACACGTAACACATGGTTGTGTCACAACAGACTTGCAACAGAAGGAACAGTGATAGTTCTCACATTCCCTGTAGTTGAACATTTTCACCCGTAATCTAATAACTCACAATCATTTAGGAAAGCTCTGCAATCATAATATATACACAATATTTACACTTACATCTTTTATACATTTATAAAATACACATACAATTATGATCGAAAAATTCAGTATGTTTAAACTTCAAAAATTATTATAGTAAAAGACACATTGCCCCTCATCTCCCTCAAGACAGTCCTCCTCTCTTCCAGCACACATCGCATCATTCCTGCCATTCTCTGAAGCACTTCTGAAAGTCCTTTTTTGTGAATGTCTTTAGCTGCACTGTCGTAGCTGCACTGATCCCTTGAATTGACTCAAAACATTTACCTTTCATGGTCATTCTGACTTTGAGGAAGCCAGAAGTCACACAGTACCAGATCTGGAGAAAAAGGTGGATGAAGACACATTGTAATGTTTTTACGGGGCTGCCCTTCCACTGGACGGCACTCAGGAACAGCATTCACTGTATTTTGGGTCATATCTCGCAAAGACTCACAAAAGAGGACTTCCAGAACTGCTTCAGAAAGTGGCAAGAATGCGAGTGAATAAATCAAGGGAGAGCGTTTTTAAGTGAGATTAATGACAATGTGTCTCTTACTGTACTAAATTTTAAAAAATTTAAACATTGTCTGTATTTTCTGACCATGCCATGTAGATACATACAATATGTGCGAACACACACACACTTCTGTGATGATTCTGAAAGAAGTGAAGGATTCAGGGAATTTTTTAATTGCTCAACTTTACTTCAGCTATGTCTTTCCTTTCCAACCACTATACAACCATATAGCCACATGCCTCTTGGGATTTCCAGCCCAGTGGATTTTTAACCCAGTGTTGGATCAATTTCTTCCCCACATGAACACCTGATAACACTGGCTTATGTTGAAGAGCCAGGCTGTAAGGAAAAAGGTATTTTAAACAGTAAGATTGCAGATAGTGTAGAATGTTTATGCCACAGGAGGTATGCGGAGACTGAGAAAGGGCCTGAGGAGTACACACCTCTTTGATCTCAAATCTGTTCGTGGGTCTCTGCCCACTGAGGGGCAACAGAAGGCCAGGCTGGTTCCTTTACTTACTCTGCAGATTTGCTTTGGTTGTTTGCATAATGGATCTGTGTAAGTTAAATGGAGGTACTGAGGCGATACTACTGAGGAAAGACCTGCATAGGTATGCGGGACAGGCCACAGCAGCAGCCCAGTGTAAACAAGATGAAAAAGTACAAGAAATTTTGAGCCCCTAAAGTCCTAGCCTCCGGCTTAAGTCCTGGTCCTCCTCTTGCTTGCTGTTTGACGTTACTTGCTAAGTCTATGCCTCAGATTTCTTATCTACAAATTCCAATCCATTATGGTTTTGTTGAGGTAAGGATACCTGATACAATGTAGATAATTACAGAAATGTTACATCCTCTTGCCCCTCCTCCACCTCCCACATACACAGGTGAACAGTTGGGAAGTGAAGGTAACAATAAAAAGGGCAGCTGGTGTCAGGTTACAGAGCGTTATATTCCGAGTTACAGCCCAGAGCCATCCAGAACAAATATGACTTCTGTATGTAATTTAGATTTGCCTAGTAGCCACAATGTTAAAGTTAAAAAAGAGGAAGCAAATTTTGGTATTTTACTGAACCTAAGTATGTTCAAAATAGTTTCATAATCAACATAAAATTATCAAATACATCTTATATCTCTTTAAAATTCTTTTTGAAATCCATGTGTATTTTATACTAACAATGTGTCTCAATTCAGACTGATTACAATTCAGATGCTCCATAGTCTCCCTAAGACTAGTGGGTATGATACAAGACAGATCAGCTGTAGAAATGGAGAATCATTGGAGTATTTAATCAGCAGAATGGGACACTTTGGAAAGATAAAATTGTTAGCAGTAGCCAGATGTGATGGTACATGTCTGTAATTCTAGCACTCAGGAAGCTGAGACCAGACAATCCCTGCATGTTGAAGACCAGCCTAAGCTACATAGTGAGTTCAAAACCAGTTTAAACTACATAGTGAGACCTTGTCTCAAAAAACAAACAAAAATTGTTGGGATAGATTATAGGAGAGAAACGGTACAAGCATAAAGACTGATCTGAACAAGGAAGACATCGGTAGGAATAGCCAAAATCAGATGAAGAGAGGAAATACCGAGGGTCAAGAATTTAGATGATCCAGTGACTGATTTCATGTGGGAGATGAGGGTGAGTAAAGGGGGAAGATGGGGCTTATCTCTAAATAGAAAAGCTAAATGTTCCCTACAATCAACATTATATGGTTTTCAGGCTAATCTTCCTTGTTCTATAAACCAACTCTTGAATTTCTATCTTAACATAGTGTCTTGGTTACTTTTCTCCCATTGCTGAGACAAAATACCCAATGTCCAAAATGAAGGAAGGAAAGCTTTATTTAGCTTACAGTTTGTGGAGGTTTCAGTCCATACTTGGCTGGCTCCGAGGCAGAAGGTAGCAAACCAACAAGAGCAAAGCAGGGAATGGCAGCCGAACAGCAAACAGCCAGAGCAAAACCGGAGGAATGGTGGCAAGCAGCTTCTTTTTCCCTGCCTTACTTTGTAAACAGGCTACCCCCACCTAAGGGGCATGTAGCTCTCACATAATCTTTGCCCTCCTCTTTCACAGGCTCAGGATGTATACAAAGTAAGTATCCTGGCTTCCTACTGAGTCACTTAGCCAAACCTCTAGACTCCCCAAGTTGACACAATGTTTCAACCATAACACATAGTAAAAAGAAACAAATAGTAAAAACTAGGTAAGCGCCTTCAATTCCTATGCAGTTCAGTAGTCCAGTGCCTTTTTAATATGCACAAGGCATCAGGCTGGATCTCCAGTGTCACACATGCGTGCACACACAGACAGAACTACAAGATAGTCATCAAATATTAATCTAAAGTTATTATTATTGGTCTGGTAGCTCCTCAAAGGCATGGACCAAACCTCACTGACTTCTGTCCACCCCCCTAAACAGACAAGCCCATCACAGTAGTCTCTGCCTGTAATCAGTACGGGTTTGCTGGATTGAACTTAACTATAGAACAAATGGAACCATTTTCTTCTGTTGAGATGTCATACATAGTCATCTTTAAAACTGTGACTAAAATATATCTGAAGAGCTCAAGTTACATTCTTGCTTCAGTTTTCCCCTTAGAAAATTGTAGCTTCTGTTGCTACATATAGGTAGATTTTAAAAGTTTTAAAAAGTAATGGTATTGTGAGGTCTAGAGGCATATAAAGGCACCACAGACAATTTTCTCTTCCTTACTAACCTAATTGAGAGATCCTATGGAACAAAAGGAAGTACTAAGAAAATGTTTCCATCACAAATTTCTGGAGACTGACTGGGGTATCAGGTGAGCAGAAAAAAAAAGAGTTGGATGAACTACACTTGATTTTTCAATCATTAATTTAAACATATTCACAACACAAGGGTGTGATCACTGCGGCCTTCCTCAGCTATCCTACGGTATCCCACCCACCACCCCAGAGAGCAACTCCCACAGGGCTCGCACCTTACCTCAGACAGCAGGTGCTGAATCACAACTGTTAATGCTTCAAGCTTGATATTGCCATGGGAGAGAAGCTGCTTGAGCTGCAGGATAAATCCACTTTGGCTTTCACATTTTGTTTTATACTGAGCCAACTCAAGTGCTTTTTCAGAGGACAGCACATCTGGAGACGTCTGTGTCTGGATGCATAGACTTCTAGGATTCTTTTGCCTGCCCTTTTCAACTGCAAGAGGAATTAACGTAGCATAAAGATATGTGAGGTTGATTCTTATAATCACCACCACATGGGTGTAAAACCAACTCGATAAGCCATAGAAATGCACTTAAATTATGTTTATGCAAGGAACTCATATGGACAAGAACTGGAGTTGATCAAAAATGTAGATGTTTGGAATTCATAAACATAATGGCTTTATTTCTAACTTTTGAAGATTTATGTGAGGCAGAGACTTATGCATATGAAACAAATAGATTTAGAAGCTCAGAGACTGAAAATAGTATGTAAAATGTCAACTTCATAGGTTTTAAAGTTTCCAGTTTAAATGGCAGTGAAATCTGATTGTGACCACTACTCTGGTTGTCTGATCACATATACACAAAGGAAAACACAAATAATTGGATTTTCCATGTCTCTCACTCTTCTTCAACATTTTCTAATACCATCTTATCCTTTGCTGACGGTCTCATCATTACAAAGTTTAATACTGTAAGTGTGTCATTATCTCATCTCTAATAAATCAGCACCTACATTAAGAATCTGCTCATATTTTGTTCCTATCTTTAATGGTCAAGAGTGAAACTGCTTGCCTATACTATTTCATTTGCTATCAAGCTTTGTTCTTTCTTTCCCCCTCAAGCCGTAATAATGGGTGAAACATTTAATAGCACATGCTAATACTCCAAACCCATGTAAGGTGTCACACAAAATTATTATTCACATCACACACTGTCATGCCCTAAGAACTCTGTTTTGAAAAACTGTTCAGTTTTGGAACCATTCCAAGTTTCTCAGTCACTTTAAATATCAAACAGAATTGGAAAAACAGGAAACAAATTGCTTAGCTTCTTGAAATAAACAGGCCAAACACAAGAAAGTAAAATTTAAAAGTGTTTCCATATTCTGACATACATTCTCTATGGTATCCAATTTCTGTGGTGACAAACAGATCTAAGCGAGACTTTTTTGAGCAGGCAGGGATTGTTTTCTGTAATTTTTCAGGGAGATGCAAACCTTGATCATGATTACTTGAAAGAAAATAAACAAAGAAACTTCAAAAATCAATGGTAAAATACATTCAATATAGTCCAATTATAAAACAGAAAAAGGCTTTTGTTTCTTATGGTTGCTTCACATGGTTAGACAACTCATATTTCTTTCAATATTTGATAGTCTTCAGCTCTAAAATAACCAAAATATCTCTGTGTTTATTAATACTTAAAGAGACAATTCATCCATTATTTATTAGTGGTTTTTAAGTTGTTTACCAGTACTTGCAACTTCCCTAGTAGAGGGAGAAAATATCCAACTTGATAGAGTCATAGTATTACAATCCAGAAGAATAAGTTATTATAGAGTCACTATATTAATGAAAATAAATACCTGACAACTTGTCAAGGTACCTGTGATTGGTATTTCTTTATTTTAAGTCATTTTCTAAATAGTCTAAGGAACTGTACTTGTCACATTATATATATTAATAATTACACAGTGTTTTACTATTCAGTGTTTTCAAATGCCATCCCCACCCCATGTATTCTTTGAGACTGCTGGGCCAGCTCTGAACTCCATGTCCTCCTGCCTCAGCCTCTATAGAGGTGTGTGCAGCCACATCTGGCTTCCCTCTCTTTTGCCCCTCCCAGTAACTTGGGTAATGAAGGTGCAGCTCATAAAGGTTAAAGGACTTCCCCAGGCCTCTGAGACAAGTATCTGATGTTCCCACACTTTTGGGGAAGAGGATTAGGTAGAGATATAATGTATTTCAAAATTTTAAACATATATTATAAACTTAACAAAATATTATTTTTAAATATGAGGTTATATATTATATAACCTAATAGAATATATATGCCAATCAATAGAAGAGTGGAATAAGGAAAATATATATACAATGGAGTGCTACTCAGTCACAAAGAAGGATAATTTTGAATCATTTGTAGGAAAAGGGGTGAATCTTGAGACCATAATGCTAAGTGAAATAAATTAGTCACAAAAAGCTAAATATCTCATGATATTGCTAATATGAGAGTCCTAAAACATAAATAAAGACCCATGTTAAGAAAGAGGGAAGCAGTCTCTGTAGAGAGGTGAAGAGATCTAGGAAAGAGAGAGGAGAGAAGAGGGAAAAGAGGAGTAAACATCATCAAAATGCACACCCAATGCATCATACCTCCGAGCAGAATGGAACCATTGTGCATCACAAACATGCACTAATAAAAAGTACTCCAGCAAGACAGGAGTTTGCTGTCTGGATTGAGATCACTGCACAATGTCCTTTCAAAACTTACTTGGAAATTGATTTACATATTGTTACACTGCTTTATAATTTCTTTAACCCTTAATGTTTGATCCCAGAATTTTTATGCCTTTTAATATTACTTAACATAATATCAGAGTTTTAAAACTATTGAGCTATAAGTATTTGTAAAATCTGAGGTGAATCTTTTATATTAACATTTTGGGTTTTTTTTTTTTCCTTACAAATGTATAACAGAAGTAGTGCAGAATACATGGAAAAGTATTAACAATGTTTACCTTTTCAGGTTAAAGAATAGAAATCAGCTGGATAAACAGTGTCCTAAGATATTTTTTGACTTTTAAACCAAATTTTGTATTTAATTTTTGAATAAATATATTCATCCCCTGGTTTAAAACTATAAAAGATGCCTTAATTTAAAAATATAAATTAAAATGTAAAAAATGACTGAAATGAATTTGGAGCACTTAAATCCCCATGTAATTAACCATTAAGAGAATACAAGCTATTCAGATTTGTTCTTGAGTAATCAGTACAGGAATCTAAATAACACCAGTTTTGTTAGTGGCTCAAAACAGATTTACAGCAGAGGAGGGAGGAACACACGGCCTACTGTTCTTCTAGGAGTACAGGTCTCCACCTGTACAAAGTGCCTCTACCTGGGGCTGGAGAAGCACGCTGTGACCTCAATCTTCCGCCCCACATGCTGCGCTCCCCCAGGACGGAACTGCAGCACATGGCAGTTGATGACCCAGTTTGTGCCTCCTGCCCTTTCCTCACTCCAGGTTCAACCAAAGATCAGAGATGATGCAAAAATCTCCACCGAAGCGCAATCCCCTAAGGCTCATGGAAACAGCATACTTTATAATACAGAAAACCCACGGTTTCCCTTAAATCCTAGAGATTCATTATTTACATGAAATTAGCATAATATAAACCAGACTTTGCTCTTCAATCCTTACATGAGCTTACAGACTCAGATATTATTGTTTTGATAATGCAGCTGTATTTAAAAGTATAAGCTATTTTACTCTACTAAAAGCATGTTTTGATTTCCAAGAATCAGTTGAATCAGAAATCTGAAAATGTCATGCTAACTTCTAGGTCAGTTCAGATTTCTCTCAGTAAGGTACAGTAATGACCATGATTACTTCTGACCCAACCTCTGGATTCATTCTAATGACTGAAACCTCCATTAGCAAAACAAGTCCGGAACCAAAGACATCTGCCCACTCAGAAAACAGCGAAATAACTCTGCTCTTCGTTCTTCCGACTCAGAATTCTTAATCTAACAAGTCTTTCCTGATTTACCATCTTCTTACAGAAACTGACTGGGTAGAGAAAAACAGGCCCACTTTTCAGGCTCAAGTCACTCAGGTCCATCGCTATCACAAGATCAAAATTCAGAGACGAACCATGGTCACAAAGACCAGCTGAGGACAGTCATCCAAAGGCCAAAGAGTGTACATTTACTGAATATGCTGTTTTTCCAAGATATTAAGATCAACTTAGAGACATGATTATTGAGTCTTGAGTTCCATGAAATACAGAATTCAGTAACCAGAGTTGCAGAGTCCTATCAGCACATGCTCACTGGCCTGCTTATTCTCCAAATGTTTATTCACATCTATCACATAGCTCTGCTGGGCTGGCAGATCTGCCCTGATGCCTTGCAGGTAAGGAGGCATCACGCAGGAAGGCAGCACTGCACAGGGAAGGAAGGATTTCTTGCTGATCCACTCTTCGTATGGATCTACCTGTGCAAAGGTACAGATATCAAGCATTATGAACTTTCCCTACATGCTGCATCAAAAGCTAATGATTGTCATCTAATATAAAACTTAGAAATGAATTCAGGGACTGTTGAGGGGGTCTCTGAATCTCTACCAGCTTGGACAGATATCTAATTCCTCACTTTCTGCCTGCATCTGAAACCATATATCTAAAACCCTAATGGGGACACCCATATACAAATTCTTTCAGTGTTTCTTCAGCATCTGATGATAGGTGTTTATTGTAGGATATTTCATAAAAACAAAACATTAAAATGGAAATTATTGGAAAATATGTTTCCTGATAAGAGAAAGTATCCAGACATGAAATGTAAATGTCTATGCATGCCTTCCTAACAAACTGGTCTTTGTTTGCAAGAAAACTCTGTATAGCAGAGATAGAAATACGCCATCCACAGTGGCAATGTGACTTGATAATTAGATGCTAGACTTCTATATGCAGGGTGGTGAGAGGACAGGCAGGAAAACACGTAGGCAGAGTTCCCAGAGGCAGAGTTGGGATGGACATTTGCACATCTGACAGACAGATGAGCAGAGGAGAAGCAGCAGAAGGGCATCCCAAGGAGATGAAGCCAGCAATCACAAAGGCACATAGGTACAAGGCCCCTGGATGTGTGGGTATCACAACACAAAAATCCCAAGCTAAAGCAAAATGAAGTAGATAAACAGAGTGATATCATATATACTATGCAAGGTGTCATCTTGCAGGAGCCAAGGAACAATGCTGAGCCATGTCTTGGAGGATCAAGAAAGGTCTTATGGAGTAAAACCAGAACCAGAGAGGCCAGAAAGATGCCCAGGAAGAGGTATCAGGGGTCTGTAGCAGGAAAGGGGGTTGTGCCTCTGAGGCAGAACAGGAGGAATGTGTGGCCACTCGGAAGGGGGTGACAAAGGAAAGAATTAGGATGAGTTAAGTACAGGTAACAACTCCCATGAGGAATGTAATCATTACGTAC